CGTGAAAGCTTCAACTGATTTTAGTGCAGCTCTTTCCTAATATTCCGCTAGGCGTTGAACGGTAAGGCAATCTTCAGTATACTCCGTAGACTGCCACCGTAACCCACGTGAACGCTAGCACTCATTTCTTAGCTCACTGCTTCCACACACTTTTCTCGTTTTTGCGAATTGTAAGCTAACCGCACTTTGCAAGGGCGCTTGCACTCGTGCTTCGGTTTTACTGCACGCTCCATCGTCGATCTGGACTACGGTAGAACTACAGGACCTTCTGAAGAATTGCTTTCGTTTTTACTGTTCATGCCGGAAACTAGCTTTCATAAACAAGTAAGGACATATCGATACTGTGGATTAGTTGGAATAAGAAATGATACACTAATTCTTTACTAATTTTGTGAATTCATCGGTGATAATTCAAATCGGTGATCAAGTGATTAGCTAACTCTTCTTCTGCATTATCCTCTTCTTTCCCAGTATTGGAAAAAAGACAGGGTGATTTGAGGTCGGGTTTGATCTCGCCGACGATTATTCCCAGAGCCTTCAATTGTTCCTTCACAATCTGAATAATCGCTGGTGACACTCTGACACCCGCACATGTGTTCCATGTCAGAGATTGCACGTATGCTTTTTAGGGTAAAATTTGTGTCACTGGCAAAGATTGGAAATTTGCTTGGAACGATGAATAATGACGTGAATAATCGGCGATAGGTGAATGTCGCATGTAACATTTACTGCGTGCGCACGCGGATGTCGATGTGGATGTTCCGAGTCAGATGGTACGATAAATTGGCCACCCGTCGAGAGTGGAGCTGCTAAAGGGTGCGGGGGTGTGGTTCACTAGGACAGAAAGCGACTTTTTCGCGTTTCGCAGCGCGAAACATTTTCCGCTGCGGGAACCTCAGGTCTGATCATCAGTGGACCCGAGGTTCCCGCAGCGAATCATCAGTGGACCCGAGATTCCCGCAACGAACAATGTTTCGCGCTGCGAAACGCGAAAAAGTCGCTTTCTGTCCTAGTGAACCACACCCGGAGTGCAGCAGTGAGGAAAAATTAAGGGAGACCCAGATAACCACGAAAACGGGACCATTGTTTTCCCCGTTGATTTTTGCGTTAGGGGAATTCTCATAGGTGCTGAAGATATCGGCTTGAACGCTCTACTTCACCTCTACTAAAGGCATAATAGACCAACAGGAATCGGAGAAAGCAGAGGGAAGAATAGGCACAAACTCACGGGTGGAGGCTTTCGGTCATATAAGTCTCTTCGCGAGAAGTTTTCAACGATTTTGTTTAAGTAGCCCCGGCTTCCTTTTAGTAGACACAATTGCCTCTTCTCGTTATTTGATTTATCGATCCACCTGCCTTCATTGTATCTTTTCAATCTACACGCACATTTTTCAGATGCTACGAATTTTCAATAGATGGCAAACTTATTGCACTTCGAAATCTTTCTCAATATTTTTCGCCATTACTTTTATGTGCTGTTATGTCGATGCTCTATATTCCGTTACTAACGGATATCACGTGGAAGCGGTTTCGAAAAGAGGTGATTCGATGTATTATTTTAAGTTGTCGAGTGTAACGGGTTTCTGTAAAGCACCAGACGACATGAGAGTTGCAATGATTGCTGATCCTTGCAGTTCTGACGAGGAATGTCGTCCAGCAAGCATCTGCTTGGATCATGGAGAGAAACTTATGTTTTTCTAAGCGTGTAGTGTTAATAATGGTACAATTAATGGCTTGTGGTTAAGGTAAAGTACTAGTGAAGCGAGGATATTCCGGCAAGGTACAGGCTCGAAGGGTGAAAACGCACCGCGCAAAAAAGGTAGGTGGACGCCCTGAAGTGCGCAGGCGAACGGCTAGCAATTCTACAGGATATTCCCAGCGGCCTGATATCAGTCTCATTACGGGGTACGCCACCAAGTGCTACCGACTAGCGAGGTCTCTCGACCGTAAGCGGGAGCGTTAGAGTGAGGGCAGCACGGTAGAGTATGCATATTGACAACTTCAAGGGTAGTGTTGCCAGTTTTCGGGTTCCTTAGCCGTTTCTCATGGTCTTTTTTACTCATAATAGTACATGAAAACCTACACTAGACGTTTCAGATATATGGATGTATATCTTGTGGTAGGTTAAAATATACTAGAAACCAATTAAACGAATCTGGATATAGTACAGATATCTTTATTATCAATCTGATAAAGTGCTCTGCTAAAAACACTTTTATAAAATATAAATATGAACTAAAAATGGACGATTTACTAGAGTTTCTTCGAAAACTTGATGACCCTTGAAAAGGAAATGAATATGCATCGGTAGAGAATGATAAACAATGATAAAACTTTCACACGTTTATTTTATATCTATCTACTATTCGAGGAGGCAGGACAAGAGGTGAGTTCAATTTTCAATTTTCTATACAATTTCATTGAATAAGAAACAAACTCTTTCACTTTTTCATGAAAAACTTTAATTATATGTTAGATAAATCTAATTAGCTATAAAACTTTAATTTAACTTGTATTAAACCTTAATTAACTCAAATATAAATAATCTATTTACGCTAACAACTTTTGAAAATTTTATTTAATAAATTACTACAATAATGTAAATCAAATTCTTTATACCTCTCCTCCCTTACTGATGAGCACAGGGAGAGGATACTCTTTCGTTTAGTCTCCGTCTAAGGGCACGTGCGAAACGGAGACTAAACTACTCTTTGAATCCCACCCCCTAAATAAATTTTGAATAAAACATATAAAAATATTGAGATCGAAAAATAAAAACAAAAACAGTTTAATTTACAAATACAAAAGTTTAATCATATATAAAGCCATTACTTTTATTTGCTCATGTCCCGGCTTCGAGTCCACCTCTACCCTAATTCTAGTGAGTGCCTTGTGAACTCCACCTTTATAACTGCAGAAATTTCGATTGCGAAGGAATTTTCCCCACATTTTCTAGCGATTCCGATTGCCGCTCATAATGCCTTATGCATTCTTTCCCTGTATCATGCAAAGAATCGTTTCGGAAAAGCACTTCATGTCTTGAACGATATCCTGGCGTGAGAAATTGTGGCCAAAAGTGAACGTGTCAGGAACATTTTCTTACTCGAACATGAGCGCCTGATGATGGGCGTTACTGTAAATATGGCCCCGCTATATGCTAACGAGCCTTCTTTGGGGTGTACAACAAAGAATAGCTTCGTAAATTTTTGAAAAGGTACTATCGAAGGGTGTGAGAATACAAAAATGCAGTCATCCAGACATGACTTTTTAGCGTCCTCTGATTGTGGCTTGGACATCGTTCTACAAGGGCACGATCAGCGCTACGATTCACCCCACTATGGACGATTGTCCGTACGAATGCGATCTCGTTGAGAGAAGGTTTGTTTGGTCCTTAATGATGCTCAAACAAATCACAACAACATAAACTATGTTTCTAACTTATCATAGTTTGTAACTAACTAGAATAGTTCACAAGCAGCTATGGAAATGACTGGTGTCGATACGCAGCGCTATCTTTTGTCGCATGCCTGTAGGCTGAATATGGAATCGCATCTGTTAACATGAATTCCTTGTCACATGCCCGTAGGCTGAATATGAAGAACGCTGTTTATTATTGCTAAACTTAGATTTGGATCGTCGATTTCTGACATCAGTCTTTGAAATAAGTAAATAAGGTTTTAAGGATGAATAGATAGGACGATGAGTATAAAATAAGTGGTGAATTTGTACTTATTACACATTATTGCAGAACTTTTCAGTGCAGACAATGGTAGCGAATCTTCCGCTTATATGCTCCATGGGGCGTACTTACTGGTGTCGACCATGCTAGAACGATATTCATCAATTGATGGTGGCTTAATGATGATTGAAGCGCCACCAAACGCGGGAACCTTCGTAACAGAGGTCAATGTCAGAGAAGAAAGTTATTGTATGAGTAATTTCGAAAAAAATTATATCAGCTACCAAAAGATTTCTTCAACGCGACGATAACCTATAGAAACGACTCCAACTATCCATTGCCCTACGGGAAATTCGTAAAACGCAGAGAAGACGACGACGAACGCTTGGTCATTACAAAGGAACAAGTTAGCGTATTTAGATCATAATGTATTTTATAATAATCAAGTTTTTTTTGTTTGAAAAGCGAAGAAACAAAGAACCCGATATCGATCGATCCTGGTACATAGGGACGTGCCTAAAATTCTATCTTCCCTCAAACTCGTAGAAGCACTTCATCGCCGTTTGGCCTATACTATGCCTTGTGGGCAACCGATGTGTAGAAATCAGTATTTGTATTTTATTTCATTTTATTTCATTTTTATCCAGATAGAGTAATCTGGTATCATTATGTCGCTTGGGGAGGATAGGAGGATCGCTTGACTTGAAGGGACTCTGTCTGGTGTTTGACCCCGAATGAAAATCAAATATCGGTCGGGAAACGACGGACGGGTTGCCACAGTTATGGATGATAAGGAGGGGATGTTTTACATATATGTAGAGAAGAAATCGTTCCGGCATCAGGTGGTGTACAATTCACAGAAAAAAGAAAAATCAGAGCCTTAGTGGTTGCTCTCTTGAAAGTTCCTTTATTTATCACCCGTTTCCTCCACTTGGCGTGCAATTTCAATCGGTCCTGGAGAAATATGTGAAGGGGAAGGTGATGGAAGTTTAGTATGTCACGAAATACCAGAATCTGAATACCCTAGGAAGTGTGCTGCGATTGCGGTGGAGGGCAAGTGGTGAGCATGTAGTATTGTACATAGGCATCCCCTTAACCTGTGGTGGTCTGAGAGTTGTGAAATTCCGAAATCACTCCGTATCCTATGCACGGTTAGTAAAGCTATACCATAATACCGCTTACCCCCATGGAGAAAATATAATATGCGTGTGTAAGGGATAAAATGAATTGCAATCCTTTTATTAGCCAAAAATGTTTCCTGAGAAATAAACTGTTTACTTTCCAGATAGAATGCTTCTTTTTCAGATACAAGATGCTTTGCCAAAGAAAACGAAAGGAGTGCTATTGTTGATGAGCCACTGTTCCACCAACTCGAGTCGAGAATCCATCATACGGTATGATCCTGATCTAATTTCATAAATATGATATCAACCATTTGGTCAGCATTCTCCTGAAAAGAAAAACTGATTTT